TGATATTTTCCCTGACCAAATAAATTGATCGGCATGGGCCACGTGTGTCCAAGCAGTTTTTACTGTTGAGTTAGCAATGGATTACATGATTTATGAGATGCATTTTTCAATAAAAGTAAAATAGGATAATTCTTTCGACATGTGCACATCCCTGTAACGATAGCAGTATTCAGGTAAATATTTCTATCCCTGCGTTTGACGCGTTTTCTCGACTGACCTGCATTGAATTTTTGCTCTTCTTGAATATTTTCCGTGTAAGTGTATTTTGTATATTGCAGAAAATGCATTCAAAAATAATTTAATTCTCGGTATGGTTCTAGTTTTTGTTGAATTTTTACTTTTCAACATGTATTTTGGTCAGTTTATGGACTTCTAAAAACTATGCTATCGGAGATGTGCACATGTCGACAGCCAAGATAGAAAATCACTCAAGTGAAACAGTTCTAAAAGGCTATATATAGCAGGTACAGGTGGCCAAAAATGTTCGACTAAATATGGCGGAATCGAAGAAATATGGCGGACAAAGGCGTACAGGAATGTAGTAAGTCGTACAAAGATAAAAACTGATGCCTTTTTAAGAGTTCATGTCAGCTTTAACGCTTGACAGGGACGTAACATGATTTTTGAAAACAGGAAGAGGCAACCAGAGACAAAAATCTCAACCTTATCTGAGATGAATTAACAACCAACAAATATTAACAAGACACATTATTCAATTTTATATATTAGAAAAGTTATATTTGGAAAAACTATCCCACCCAAATTGTTACGTGCTGTTGAGTTTACTTGTATACCTATTTGATAGCATATATTTCGCAATTACTCAACCTGCATCCCCCTAGTGTCTCTTCTCTAGAAACTATTTTTCTATAAAAATATTTTAACCCCGGGTTTCGTGAAAAATAATGACTCGAATTAACAAAAATTAAGGTTTTTCAAATTTTTCTTCCTTTTTCGACCAAAAAAGATATTCATTTTATCATTGTAAATTCTGAAAAATACAAATATATAATTACACTCAGTAAAAATTCATGGGTGAAGTTTGGAAGAAGTCCGTTCCAAGAATGGGTCACTATAATGTGTTTTTATTCTGTCTCTATATCAGGATATAAATTAATTTCTTCATAATTATGGATCGATTTTTAATTATTACTCATAAAAGATACCACAAAGTATGACACATATGTTTCATACTTAGATATTTTACCTGAAAAATACTGTTAATGATAATATAGGAAAACCAAGCTCTATGATAAACGTGATTAATTAAACTTTTCTATCGTCGACGTCCATTATTTATGCAGCGATAAACTTTCATGACCTGCATACGGAGTATATATATTTCAGTTGATTAGATTTGCAAGAGCATGCTCTACGTAAAAACAACATATAAGAGGTAAATCATTGACAAACAAGTTAATGAGACAAGAATGTCAGCAATGTCGTTTAAAATTTCGTTAGTTCTATGGCCAATACAATGGCATTCTCAGCATATACAGTTTATCAGTAGGTCAAATCCTGACTGACTTTTTCATACTGATAGGCCATTATTTATACATTGAGTTGTCCCCAAATTTCCCGTTTTTTCTTCCAAACATGACAAGAATCACAGTGGGTTCGACCGGACGCAAGACACGCTTGCCCCTCCATGATACCTGATCCACCAGGGGGGGGGGGGGGTCCGTATTTGTTCTGTTCAAGTTTTGTATGGTTTCAATAACCGTTGACCTTGAATATTGTTTGTTTACTGCATATATGTATCATTCTAACGTCTTTTATTTCAATTTACAATGAATTCAAGTCACACTATAGGACCTTTCGTACCCATATTCATCTATAACAGTACATATGAGATAATTGAGTAAACTTCTAGCTTAGCTCCATACGAAATACAAAAGCTTTTATTGCTATATGGAAATCGAGATTGAATACTGGTCGTCATAACCATATCTTTTACCTTACATTAAATTGATCGAAGGGCCGCTACTGCTGCATTTACTTACTAACGATACAATGTTTATAATTTGTCTGTGGACTATGGGTCTTAATCACAATTTTATGTCCTCAAATGAAATTATTGTATTATAATTACTTTGACAAATCTAAACTGTTTTTCAATTATTTCAGATTTTTCTATTTAATTGTATTTGGGGAATGCTGTAGTACATGACTTACTCGTGCTGAGAAAATAGTAATTTCCGTTGAATTAACTGAGCATAGACCTTTAGTTGTACTGTATTCTAAAGAATATGGGTATTTTAGAATGTAGGGAAACCGTTGAATTGTTGTACTGACGCATGTTGGTCTCTCTGACTGTTCATAACATTAGAGTATTTCAATTTTCATAAATAAGTGATAGAGGAGATTAAATGAATGAGAAATTACCAAATGTTCTTGTTACTTGAGGTTTAAAGAATGAATTTATCATGCCACGTATTCTTCTGCGCTGGATTGTATTCAGCCAAAACTAAAAAAATATAAGAAAGTGTTTTTATTTCCCAAATTGATTTTTTTACTTCGAAATGTGGATTTTCCTGCTACCCTTTTGCTTTTTATTTCATCGGTGACTCCACAGACAAACCAAAATGTACAAACACTTTTTACCCACCTTTTAAATAATTACTCACCCAAAATCCGCTCCACGGTCATCCAAAACCAACCAATCCATCTGGATGTCAGTTTTTATTTGAGTAGTGTAAATGAAGTCAGCTAGGTCAAGGAGAAACTAGTAACCACAGGATTTTTAATGTTGTCATGGACAGATCAGCTGTTACGATGGAATCCCTCTGACTATAACAACACCGAAACCATATTCATTCCACAGGTAACCTGTAGCTCTTTATAACAACATCGACACCATCTTCATTCAACAGGTAACATATAGTTCTTTATGACAAAACTGACACCATCTTCAAGAAGCATATGGAGATAACGAACAGTATTCAATCCCAAAGTCCATTAAACGATATACAAAATAGGAGCAGAGCAAACACGGACCTCCGAACCATCAGAGGTGGTATCGGGTGCCATGGAGCGAGCATCCCCTGCCGACCGGCCACACCCGCCCTGCGCTCCCCGCTAACATTATAAAACAACGGAAAAAATCCGCCGTCAATTCAGTGCACAAACAATGAACCAACAACCGGCACAAAAAACACCATCTAACACTTGACTCAATGATAAATTGCATTTGCTGACAAGGTCATTGTATCGACCACAGAAACATAACGAAATGATAACTTTTAATGAGACTGCTGATATTCTTGTTTAATCAACTTGCTTGTCAATAATTTACCTCGTTTAAGAAACTGTTCATACGTAGAGAATGCTCTTGCGTATCGAATCTACTGAGATATATATACTCCATATGCAGGTGATGAAGGAATATTGCTGCATAATTAAGGAAGGTTGACGATAGAATAGTTTAAGCCATTAAGGTTATCATATGGCTTTGTTGTAAGATTACTATTAGCGTCTTTTACAAGCAAAATATCCAAGTATGAAGCAGAAGTGTCGGTCGGACTCTGTGGTTACTTTTATCTCAAGCTTACCAGGATATATTTCCATATCCATCGTATCGACGTAGTAATGGAAATTATCATCCCACAGGTAACATATAATTCTTAATGACAAAACCGACATCATCTTCATCCCAGAGGTAACATATAATTCTTAATGACAAAACCGACATCGTCTTCATCCCACATGTAAGCTGTGGTTTTGAATAGAGGGGTTAATGCTAGAAATGACATTATGATATAATATACAATTCTGAAAAATGTTTATACATGTATGTAGAACATGCTTTTGCGTAAGAAATCAACTAGGGTATATAAACTCTATATGCAGGTGATGAAAGTATACTTTGTTGCATGGTAAACAGTAAGGGAAGTTGACGATAAACAAGTTCAAGTCTTTACGTGTAGCATAGAGCGTGGTTGCTAGATCACCATTAACGTCTTTATCAATAAAATAAATGAATTCAAAGAATTGAAATTACCGTCGTAAATTAACTGTAAGTCGTCGATATATCTCAATGTCGAGTGGAAGGCTACAACAAGTGTCTCCTTCTGTTCACGCATTGTTACGCCCGCACATGCTACCGTAGTTGGAACTCTTTTGTACAATGAGGTAATCTTGTATCATTTGCGTTATTTTTATGTTCATGGCGGCAAGCACATGGTGCCACTAGCCCTCACATCCTTGCGAGAATAAGGCACAAGGAGGTAAATGAGTTATTTTTGTATGTGTATTTTGCATATTCGATCTAGCTGTAATTAGTTTTCTATGTATTGATTCTGTGTAATTGTTATTGTTACAGTTTCACGGTGAAGTTTGGTATCTTGTGACACTGCGGCGAGAATACCCGTATTTTTGTTTTGAATTAAACTTCATCAGTTAAAACCTAAGTAAACCTTATTTTATCTACGAGAGGGCCGATCCATAACCGCACATCTCTGCCGTTACAGTGAAACTCCTTACCAGGGGAAAACGGCGAGTGTGACCTATGGAAGCTTAAAGACGCCACTACCTTCTGACTTTACAGTATTTGTGAGCCTACATGATGTTTCTGTGATGATGTGTAAATGTGAACGGAACATAATTTGCGATTTATGTTGATGACATTAACTGTGTGAAAATTGTATGGTGACACGTTTGCGTTATAAAGTGACAATTTTAGCATTACTATAATAACATATTTGTGACTGTGTGTTAGTAAACAGTGTGCTATTAATTGATTAATGCCATTGATAAGTGCTAGGTATTTATTATATCTGTGCATATGAACAATTATCAAGACTGTGCTCTAGATTGGAACTGTATTGACTCTTGTTGCAAATGTTGATTTGTATTTAATATGTATACATGTGCATGTATTTACCTTGTGTGCTAGGGGAAGGTTCTGATATTTTATTGCAATATTTTATCACATAGTCAGTAGAAGTTTAGACCCCCTAACGGTGTTACAAACATGTCGAACGAAGAGATGTCCTATAAAGATGCACTTTCATCTATCCCCCCTGAAACAAAGGAAGACAACAACACAGGGCTTATTAGATCTGGCTTCTTCACTAGCGAAGCAAGTGAGTCTTAGTCGTTTACCCCCTCCGGAACCTACCATTTTCCTAGGAGATCCGTTGAAGTACCCAAGTTGGAAGGCATCATTTCAAACACTCATTGAGCAGGGTCAGATTCCAGATTCGGAGAGGATACATTATTTGAAAAAGTATCTGGGTGGGCCAGTGAAAGATGTCATAGAGAACTATTTTCTGTTATCAACAGATGATGCGTATGAGGAGGCTAAAGGACTGCTAGACCAAAGATATGGTAACCCATTCATTGTTGCCAATGCATTCCGTGACAAACTGGATAAATGGACAAAGATAAGCTCGAGAGATGGTGTTGGACTGCAGCGATTTGGTGATTTTCTCAAGCAGTGTTATACGGCCATGCAGAGTATTGGAAGCTTGAACATTCTCAATGATGACAGAGAGAACAGAAGACTGCTGAGCAAACTTCCAGATTGGCTTGTGACAAGATGGGGTAGGATCGCCACACAGTATAGAGAAGAAAGAATGGAATTTCCACCATTCAAGAATTTCATGGAATTTATCGTGAAAGAAGCCAAGATTGCGACAGACCCTATTACCTCCATAGAGTCTGTAAAGAAGTCTGAATTCGCCCAATCAGAGCCGAGTAAACCACGACCTGATGTCAGGGTACGACAGCGAGGTGCAGCTGACTATGGAAGACGATCTTTCCTGACAGACGTTGACGAGAATCAGCCCGCAAATGTGAACGTAGCAAATAGAAGTGACAGAGGGAGAAACTGTGTTTTGTGTGAAGGGAATCATGAACTAGATGACTGTAAACAGTTCTTAGCAAAGAGTCTGGAAGGAAGAAAACAGTACGCAAAGCAGAAAGGTTTGTGTTTTGGGTGTTTACATTCGGGTCATCTATCAAGGAAGTGTCGTCAGAGGAAAAGATGCAAAACTTGTTCCAAGTTTCACCCCTCATCTTTACACGGGGACATCCATAGACGAGTACAGCACCAGGTTACAGAGGACGTGGATAAGCCAGCAGTGCCAAGGGAGAATTCTTCAGGAACAACACTTATGAATCAGTCCGGAGCATCTAGTAAAAGTACCATGATACTTCCAGTTTATGTGTCACATAAAGAGAACCCAGAAAGAGAGAGGTTAGTGTATGCGCTACTTGACACGCAATCAGATACAACCTTTATTCTGGAGAAGACTTCAAGGGCCCTTGGACTTACTGGTAGACCTGAGAAGCTGATGCTATCTACTATGTATGCAGAGAACAAGGCCATAGATAGTTGTAAGATTGGAGGACTTGTTGTACGTGGCTTCAATAGTGAACACAGGATAAGATTACCGGAGACGTATACAAGAGCTATCATGCCTGCTAACAGATCTCATATCCCGACACCGGAAGTTGCGAGAAGGTGGCCTCATTTGGAGGCTATTGCAGATGAACTCCTACCGCTGGCTGATTGCGAAGTTGGATTACTTATTGGTTACAACTGTGTGAAGGCTTTGACGCCTAGAGATGTTATCGTTCCATCCGAAGACGGACCTTATGGACAACGCACTGACTTGGGATGGAGTGTAGTAGGCATAATGGAGATTGACAGTTCAACGGAATGGGAAGGGGATCCCATCGGAATTAGTCATCGTATTGTTGCGTGCGACGTGCCTACAGAATTGTGTACATCTGAAGCATCAAGGCAAGACCATGTTGTATTTTCAGTAAGGAACAAGATAAAGGAAGTAATCAACCCTGAAGAGGTAGTTAGGATGCTTGAAGTAGATTTCAGTGAGAACCTAAGCAGCTCAAAACATGTTTCCTACGAAGACAGAAAATTTCTGGATATCATGGAAAAGGGGATTCATAAGTGTGATGGACATTATGAAATGCCACTGCCTTTCCGAGAAGCAATGCCATTTCTGAGCAATAATAGAGACATGGCATTTCAGCGACTTCAAGGCTTGCGGAAACGACTTGAGAAAGACGCAAAGTATAGCGAGCATTACGTTTCCTTCATGAAAGAGCTGATATCAAATGGTTTTGCAGAGAGAGTACCGAAGACGGAAATTGGTGTGGATAGTGGTCAAGAGTGGTATATCCCACATCATGGTGTATATCATCCGCAAAAACCAGGAAAGCTGCGTGTAGTCTTCGATTGCAGTGCAAGGTATATGGGACAGTCATTGAATGATCATTTGCTGCAAGGACCTGACATGATGAATATGCTTTTTGGAGTTTTGTGTAGATTTCACAAAGAGCCAGTGGCCTTTGTTTGTGATATTGAGCAGATGTTTCATCAGTTCAAGGTGAATGTTGAACATAGAAATTACCTACGATTCTTGTGGTGGGATGATGGCAATTTTGATAAAGAGCCTACTACTTACCGAATGACTGTACATTATTTGGAGCAGTATCTTCTCCAGGATGCGGCAACTTTGGCCTGAGACAAGCTGCCACAGACGGAGAGCTTCAGTTCGGGTCTGATGTTGGGAACTTCATCAAACGAGACTTCTATGTTGACGACGGACTGAAGTCGGTAGCTACTCCAGAGGAAGCCATTAGTATCATAGAGAGAAGCAAAGAGTTGTGCAGCAGAAGTGGTTTGAAGTTACACAAGTTCCTCTCAAACTCAAAGGAAGTTTTGGAGAGCATTCCAGTTGAAGAAAGAGCAAAGGGACTAGCGGATATTGACATACACCATGACAAGCTTCCCATGGAAAGAACTTTATGTATACAGTGGTGTATTCAGACAGACGTATTTCAGTTCAAGATTACACTGAGAGACCGTCCTCTTACTAGACGAGGGGTTTTGTCAACCTTGAGTTCCGTATTTGACCCCCTTGGATTCATAGCACCTTTCGTCCTAGTTGGGAAACAAATCTTGCAGAAAATGTGTAGAAACCAGACAGATTGGGATAGCCCTCTTCCAGAGAACTTGAGACCTAGATGGAGATGTTGGAGAAATGATCTTGAGCAGCTTGGTTCCTTGGAAATCAAGAGATGTCTAAAACCGGAGAACTTTGGAGATGTTGTTGTAGCTGAGCTACACCATTTCTCAGATGCGAGCACTATTGGGTATGGCCAGTGCTCATATCTTCGTCTCATCGATGACAAGCAGCAAGTACACTGCTCCTTAGTTATGGCAAAATCCAGGGTCACGCCACTCAAGCCCGTAACCGTACCTCGTTTGGAACTTACTGCTGCGCTCGTTTCTGTTAAGGTCAGCTCCCAACTTCTAGAAGAGCTTGAAATTAGCAATGTTGTTGAATGGTTCTGGACAGATAGCACCGTTGTTCTGGGATACATTGCTAATGATTCCCGACGATTTCATGTTTTTGTTGCTAACAGACTTCAACAGATTCGTGATCACACAGAACCATATCAGTGGAACTATATCAGTTCAGCAGAGAATCCAGCAGACATGGCATCACGTGGTGTTACAGCTGATGAGTTACGAAAGAGGAAAGAATGGTTCAGAGGACCCAAGTTTCTATGGGAGTCCAGTTTACCATTTACTGGTCAGCCTGTCAGCAAGCCAACTATATCTGACGATGACTCAGAGGTTAAGCGTTGCCAGGTGCAGGGTTCTCCATCATTTGAAATGTTACTGTGTTGCAGAGTCAACGCAAAGAACTCAAATTTCGCGGTATTTTCGCGATCAAATTCGCAACTGAATCACTATTTGTGAAAATACATGAACACACTTATTTAAAAATCGCTAAATAAATTAGTTACACAAATGTTATGGTCGTTCGTACATATTGATAAAAGTAAAACACGTTCTGAAAAGCAGAGGAAATTCTGACCGATGCAGTGGTATTACTTAACATTTTTGAAAGTAAAATTGCCGTGATTATTTTTCAGTTTTCTTGATCGAGTTATCGCATTACAAAAAAAGAAGAAACTTCAGAACGGTAAACTATTTTAAGAGTTCCTTGAACAAAATTTTAAGCAATTTATTTACATCAATTAAATGGCTAATTAAATCGATCGATACGATGTTATGTCTAGATTATATTGCTAAAATTATTCTAGAGCCATGGCTCTATAGAAAAGACATATTTATTTATTTTTTTAAAATTATACAATGTATTTTATTGCAACTACCAATTAACCCTCATATGGAAGTGTGAAAACAAATTATTTGTCTTTGTTCCGTCATGCGTTAAGTCCGGCGAGGGTCTAGGAGATAATTAATTAT